GAAGCGCCCACACGTCGGGTGAAGCTTTGTCAGGCCTCTCGATTTTAGAGTATATACCGTAGCCAGTACCTGCTGACGACCATTCGATGTTTCGATGTCACTTTTTTGAGCGCCGCTCCAGTGGTCGTTTACTTTCTTGCGGATACCAACATTTTTTTGATTTAAACTCAGAATTACTTTTGATATATTATTGCAGTACTATATTTTTTAAAAGCTCGTGTGGAAATCATTATCAGCTGTACCAGCTGGGAGAAAGAACTCAGCGATGAACTAGAGCAGACTGGAACGTGAAAGTAAGTGTTCTTTTTCTTTTAAGAATCCCGATTATCTGAGTTTATCTTCGAATGGGAAGGGATGAAAAGGCACTTTCTGGTACCACAATCAGTTTTGGCAGAGTTTAATTCTTAAACAAAAAAAAACATACTCATGTCTTTGAGGCACAAGGTCACCAAATCCAATAGTTGTCAACGAAACGAAACCTGAAATGAAAAGAATTCGTAGACAACCAAGAGTAATAGGACCGCCCTGCGAATATCCCGGTTATTGATGTTACTGACATGTTTTCGAGTATCGAGAACAACTACGCTGGGCTCTGAATTAAGTGCTCTCGCACTCCTATATCGCAATTAAAATTCTTCATTAAATTAAATTATTTGCATATTTTGAACAGCACAGTAACAATTGTTAGTTTCACTAGTTAAGTTTAGACTGTTTAGCATTGAAGCAATAAAGCTGTATTCTTAGATAAAGTTAAACGTTAGCAGTCTGCCAGCTTTTTATACATTAAACACCGTATCTGTTTCATGGTATCTTCTCTGCAAAGTAAGCCGTTATCAAAAAAGCAAAGAATGGGATGGAGCAGCTTTCTTTGCAGACAGTCCCAGCAACTGTTCGAATGTAATAGAGAAAATAATGATAATATATGTATATATAAAATTAAATTAGAAATAAATTAGAAAATTAGATCAGCAGGAATGTTTTGATCCACTAAGTTCCCATTCATTATGGAAAATCCTACACAGTATTTTCAGCTAAATCAACGTTCATACAAATTTCAAATGATAATAATACTCACAGAAATAAAAGGCGTCCATGTATGTCCATGATTCAAACAAAGCAAAAAGAACACCTCCAAAGGCAATATATAACTG